AAGACCCCGTTTCTACAAAAAATGGAAAAATTAGCTGGGTGTCATGATGCGTGCCTCTAGTTCTAGCTACTCGGAAGGCTGAGGCAAATGGATTGCTTGGGCCCAGGAGGTTGCTGTGAGCTAGGCAGATGCCATGGCATTCTCCCGGCAACAGAATGAGGCTGTGTCTTAGAGAGAGAGAGAGAAAAGAAGGAAGGAAAGAAAGAAGAAAGTTCTGTGAGCCTTCCTAGCAACTATGGAACCCAAGAACAGGGATCCTGGTGAGATAGGGAACTGGTAGGTGTGGCTTAGTCCCTTGTCTAACCAACTCAACAGGAGGTGGTAATAAAACCAGTTCTAACTGGCCAGGGCCCAAGATAGTGGAGAAAACAACCCCTTGGTGACCTTACAGCTCATTATACTACAGTTATGAGATTGACTAGCTGGGGATAAGTACAAGCCACCTTGCACCAAAAGTTATTTTCCTCCTGTGCATCTGTAAGAGGACAAGTGCCTTGGTGTAGCCTCCATCTGTTCTCTACTGACTAAGTAGTTTCACCCATCTGATGAACCTAATAGAAAATTAGGTTTTGCTATGAGCTGTTTCCAGGGTGTTTTGGTACTTGAATGACTCTTCTTGGAGTTACCATTTGCCTTAAATCTCCTGCTTTTCACATTTTGAGAAATATATCATTGTTCACAAATTTCTATATTTAATTCAGGGTTCACTCAGAGTTTAATAATAGCTCCATACCAAGGCAGTCTTGCAACCAGAAAATTTCCCCTAGGTCATTAGGCTATACAGTTTCATGATTACACTAACCAAACTTGAAGTAAAGTCATTAAGGGATAAAAATGGTTATTAAGGTAGCTAATAAAGGAAATATGATTTTGTTTTTTTGATAGATTATTTTTAAAAATGTGTATAAAAAACTACTAATGTAAAATGTTAGACTCTGTGTTGGGATATGTATAGCTATGTCTTCAACATTGATACTTGGAATCAAATTCTAGACTGTACCATCTATGAACCTATTTCTCTGGCCAGTTGTTTTCTGCCTGCTACCAAGAAACAGGATTCTCTGCCTTGTGCAAATGCTCTTTTGTGTTTACTGCTTACTCTTGATTTTTAAAAATGTAATTGTGCCCTTGACTGTCCCAGGGTGCTGTTGGTATATAACTGAACATTTGTGGACAGGTATGTTCATAGGTACATGCCCATATGGATACCTTGATTATATTTTAGCTATTTAAAAATTAAGTTGGAGGCTTTTGCCAAAAGTAATTATGTGTGTGATTTCTCTAATAGATTGATTGGCATGTGATGCTGACAAATGTCCTCTTAGATATCCCACAGATTGGGTCTAGGCAGTGTCTCATTCATTATGCTAACCGGTGAAGGTTCACTGCTCGTACATGGTGGTGGCAAATCTCAACAAGGTAGCTCCCAGGATGTGAAATGAGCAGTTCTTCAGCAAAAATGATCTAGGAAAAAATGGAATCATTGGGCCAGGCGTGGTGGCTAATGCCTGTAATCCTAGCACTCTTGAGAGGATGGCTCAAGGTCAGGAGTTTGAAATCAGCAGAGACGCTGTCTCTATTAAAAATAGAAAGAAATTAATTGGTCAACTAAAAAATATATAGAAAAAAATTAGCCAGGCATGGTGGTGGATGCCGTAGTCCCAGCTACTCAGGAGGCTGAGGCAGTAGGATCGCTTGAGCCCAGGAGTTTGAGGTTGCTATGAGCTAGGCTGATGCCACGGCACTCTAGCCTGGGCAACAGAGTGAGACTCTGTCTCAAAAAAAAATAAAATAAAATAAAATAAAAGGAATCATTGGATTTCCTTGTCTTCATAGTTTGTATTCTATATAGTATAGTAAAACAGTCTTATATTCCATTTGCACCCTTCCTTAGGGAAGAACTTTGTGGTTTTCTACCATCCAAGTGGAATGTTACAGAAGATATTTTAAGATATTGGAATAAACCTATGATATTATTAATAATATTTTTTCTTAGAGTAATATTCCTTAAAGTTAAAAAATATTGTAACAGTGATGTTTTGTCATCTTTTTTTCAAAGTTTCCCCATTATGACGTGCTCATACGAAGCCAGATCCTCTCCCTGACACTGCAGTTACAGAGGAAGGGACACTGCACCTGGAGCACTGAAACCACAGGGGTGCGTTCTGATTCTGTGCATACGTCCACCCACTACTGCACATGCATCTTAGATCCAGGAGTGCCCAGGGCCCAGGGGATGCTCAGTGAGTATTGCAGGAAAGCAGTTGTTTACAGTTACAGAAGTACTTGGTTTGCCGCTTTCAAACTTCACTGCAACCTACAATAAGAAACATTTTCCATCATAACTCCTTAAATACATTTATAGTGAATATTAATATATGTGTATTAGATAGTTTTATATATTAGGTTTCAAAAAACTTATCCTCACTATATATGATGCTCGGATCTTTTTAATTCCATTCTTTTTTAAATTAGGGAATATATTTTAATTCATTTTTGAACAATTACTACTTGCAGTACACACGTAAAAAAAAAAAAGGTGAGTGGTGAAAAGTCAGTCTTCTTATCTTTTTCCCAGGGAACCACAATCCACCTGCCCTAAAGGCTGCTGCTGTTAGCAGCTTCCTGTCTGTCTGCATATAGAGGTATGTAAGACTATACAGAATTCCTAGAATTCAGGTAGATTTTTTATTTATGCATTTCAGTTTTAGGAAACAATCCTCTTGCTAAGATAATACTTAAAGGAGAGTCATGAAGCTTGTGTTTAAGCCATTTATTTGTGTTTGGAGCATAACATCTTTATGGTCTCAGCCGTACACGAGGCCCCTGTGGCTCTCGTCAGTAAATGCTATGGTTCCGTCTGCTTTACTTTGCCTGTCAGTTTGCTGCGAGAGGAAGTCCGTACAGCTGTGGAGGCCCAGCCCGTGGTCCAGTCTGGGCTAGGTGCCCTCTCTAGCTGATGCATATCACCACCCTAGTGATTCTCTTTGCCACGTATGTCAGATTTCCTGTTTTCTGTGTCTTGTGCATTCCCTTTTTTGATTTGTGCCCTCTTTTTGGTGGCATGCATCCTTACATACTTTCCTTACACATGTGTGTGAGAGGTAAAAGTTTTGAGATCTTAGATGTCTGAGAATGTCTTTATTCTCTTCTCCTGTCATTGATAGTTTAACAGCATGTACTAGATGTCATTTTCATTTAGAATTTTCAAGATCTTCTATGGTCTTCTAGCCTGTCTTCTATGGTCTTCTAGCAGCCCTTTATATAAGACCAGTTTCTTTTCCTCTTATAACTCTTAGGACCCTATTTTTCCTCCAGTGGTCCATGATGATACGCCTTGGTGAGGATCTGTTTCCATCCTGTGTGCTTGGCATTCTGTGAACTCTTTCAATCAAAATCTTAGGTTTTTCAATGCTGGTGAATGTAGTGTCTTCACTAATAATTGCCTCCCCTCTGGGTTTTTTCTTTTTTCCCTGATTTCTCTTTCTGAAACTCCTACTGTTCACTTATATGACCTCTACTGCCTTTCTCTTTTGTTTTATCTTTTCTGTCCTACTTTTCTGTTCTTTATTATTTTGTTTCTTCAACTTTGTCTTCCAAGTATGGAAGCTCTTTTTTATTTTGTGTTCAATATTGGTTAAGACTGACAAAACTGATCCTGTGCCCCACAGCTTCAGAATTACTCATTTGAGGTGGAAATTTAAAACATGCAGTTTATTTTTCTTTTAATTTTGTTTTGAATTATCCAACTTTCTTTTTCTCTGTATTCTTGTATATGACATTCTTTGGTTTAACTCTCATGATGGTGGGTCTCCTTATTGTCCTGTGTTCTTGAATTTTCAACATTGCTTAGACATAGATGTTTATTTTGATTGACATGCTTGCACAGTTTGACTAAATAGAACAGGGTATTTGGCCAATATTAGCAACTGTGTTCCTATAATCACTTCTAAGGCAGTTATTCTTAGATTTCTGTATAATTAAAATCCTTCTGACTGGGATATGTTAGATTTATACTTTTATTACTTTTTTAAAATATAGATTTATACTATTAAAAACTTTTACTCCTACCATAGGACTAAAATTTAGCCAGAATATAACTGTATTTTTTAAACTAGTCTTCACATATGATATAGATGATAATACAGTTATTTCACTGGATTCTTTTTTTTTTTTTTTTTTTGAGACAGAGTCTCACTTTATTGCCAGGCTAGAGTGAGTGCCGTGGCGTCAGCCTCGCTCACAGCAACCTCAAACTCCTGGCTCAAGCGATCTCTCTGCCTCAGCCTCCCAAGTAGCTGAGACTACAGGCATGCGCCACCATGCCAGCTAATTTTTTTTTTTTTTTTGAGACAGAGTCTCGCTTTGTTGTCCAGGCAGAGTGAGTGCCGTGGCGTCAGCCTAGCTCACAGCAACCTCAAACTCCTGGGCTCGAGTGATCCTTCTGCCTCAGCCTCCCGAGTATGGGACTACAGGCATGTGCCCATGCCCGGCTAATTTTTTATTAATATAGTTGGGCCAATTAATTTCTTCTTTATAGTAGACGGTCTTCTTTTGCTCAGGCTGGTTTCGAACTCCTGACCTTGAGCAATCCGCCCGCCTCGGCCTCTCAGAGAGCTAGGATTACAGGCGTAAGCCACCGCGCCCGGCCTCACTGGATTTCTTGAAAGATGTCATGTGATATTTTTCTGGGAAGTCAAGCTGATAAGATCAACCCCAAAAAGTCATGTAACAGAGGGAACAGCCTGAAAAAAAAGGGCTAAAAATGTTTTCTGTCTTTTTAAAACCTCCCACACCCTTTTTGGGAATTGAAATCTGCATCCCTGCCTCAGGCCAGTGTTTGGGAGTGTAGGGGGCTGTCCTTTGCTCTTTGTACAACCAGAGATGGCTCAACAGAACTATCCAGACAGAGGTGTGGGCTGAGGTCACAGAATTGTCTTTGTCAGAGATGAGACAAAGCAGAATCATCAACTATAGATAAACAGCAAATAGCCTGGAGCTGAAAACCTTCCCTCTTAAAAGCTCTGTATTTCTGTTTACAGTTAGGAAAATTGGTATTTTTAAGACAGGAGTCTGCCATTTTCCTCATTTGATGGCAAATTTATAAATCTCTCTCTCCTTTTCCTCAAACTACTTGTCCTCATTCTTCTGATGTGGGCTCAGGGACAAGTGCCAAACTTTTGGTAACAGAATTAGGTGTCCCTGGGTGGACTCATTGGCACCTTAGTGGAAGGACACCCTGCAACTGCTGTCGTAAGCCGTGGGGAGCAACCCAGGTTAAGCTGTGGGTCTTTGCTGGTAGGAGCAACATCTTTTATAGATGACAGAACAAGGGATGGCCCCAGTAGCTACTGAAGCCTGTTTTAGCTCCAGAGAACTCCTGTCTCTTTCTCCCTGAATTTGGACATAACTCTGACCCACCTGAACTAAGTTGCGTATAAGGAAATGGATTTGGGAAGTGTCATGACAGCCTTGGCCATTTGTTTGGTAAGTTTCCTGGTATGCATGTCCAGATCCTTGATCTTACCCATTTGGGGAGGTTTTTAGACCTTCCTGCTGAATTTGTTTGGAGGCACCATTTGGGGTGAAAGTTACAAGGTTGAGTGGACCTAGGGCAATGGTTGGATTTGGAGCTCATTTGTGGTTACCAAGGAACCACGGGGATTGGGAGATGTGGTTCTCATCTGAGAGAATTTGGTTCTTGTTTGTCCCCTTTGGATCAGGAGATGTTGGTTCTCGTTTGAGAATTTGGTTCTACTTTGGATGGTTCCCATTTGTAGGCCTTGGCATTTTATCTTGGGGATTCCCTGTATTGTCTGTGTGTGTTACTTTTGAGTTTTATTTCAACAGAGAGAAGCTCCACAACTTTAGCTACGAACCTGTGTCTAAAATATGTATGTACTGAAGTGTAAGGAGAAGTGGCTGTTGAATAAACCTTGACAACTGGAATTATTTTGTCCAAGGTGAGGTAAATGGGACAAGATCACGTATGTACAATTATAAAGGCCTGGGATAATGTTAGAGACCTCTATTGGGGGTAGGTGGCATAGTCATGATGCTGGGTTTTAGTCAAACAGTAGGTAGGATTCCCCTGGTCCGCAACAGTTCTGGATCAGCTGCTGGGAGCCTGCGAGGCAAGGCCCTGTGTGGAACTGCAGCCCGAAGCAGGGATGCCCACCAGGAGCGGGGACAGGCCAGCACACTGCCATGCAACGAGGAGTGCCCACCTCCCGACCAACCCCAACCCCAAGCACGTGCCCAAGGGCGCGGGGAGGCAGGCGTAACTGCCTAGGAAGGTGCAGTTCGCCAGTGCTCAAACTCACGCTGATGAGGCCCCTGCCGGAGTCCTGCAGCTAGGCCGGGCGACAGCGCCTTCCCCAGCCTGCAAGTCCCTGCCTGTGGCATTCAGCGCCCTCCATCTTGATGTTGTGAGGGGCTGGGAGAGGGCACGACCAGAAATAATTCTTTAGTCCCATGACCACTATGTTATGACTCAGGAATGGGAAAGGCCTCCCCTAATACCCAACAAGAGACCCAATTTGGCCAGAGGGCACTCATAGCTGGAGGGGGGGGGAATGTACAATCAGTGTGCTTTTTGTAAAAACACAGAACATTGTAAAGAATGTTGCCCAAAAATTGCAAAGGGCTCTAGGTAACAAGAAACCTCCAGGAGGCTTTGCTTGTTTACCAAGCAAAGTTGATAAGTAACCCTCAAAATATTACTTATGTTTATTCAAAAGAGCAAATAATACATTATCTTTTGTAACAATAAAAATAAACCCAAAGCAAATGCACTCAGACCTTCTGCCTCAGTAATAATTTTCATTACTGCAGTATTATCCCACATTTATAATTCTGCAATATGTTTAAGAGATCCAAAGTTCTACCTACCAACCAGTAATTAGTTTGTTTCTACCTACGTTCATGATTCTAGATATACAAATATGGTTTTTATCCTCAAGCTCATAGTTTAAATATAACTAACACATAGAACAATTAGAAAGATTACTAATATATAAATATAAGCTGATGCTGTAAAAGTGCTATAAAGCTCAGTAGGGGGGTGGACCACAGAAATAAGACTTTCCTGAAAGAGTTCCAGGTCTAGAAAGTAAAATAGCATACAAAAAGAGTGGTGACCTTGTGGTATTGCAGAGTAAGGAGGCACATAATAATAGCTTTTACATCACAGAAGAGAGGAAACCAGAAAATATCCCCATTTTAGAGATGGATAAATAGTGGTACAAAATAATTTAAAATTTATTCAAAATAGCCAACTGTATATGATCCAGGTCTTTTGGATTTTGAATCACTGTTACTGCTTTTTGCAATCTATCTATAAAACACTTCATAATGCCCGAATTTTTCTTAAAATGTGATTGCTCTGTCCTTTAATTTTGATGTAAAGATCCTCTACTTAAATATGTAATTACAAACCAAAGTTATTTTTTTTTTCAGTTTCTTACCTTATTTTAATGTACCTTGATGGGTATTAGTATTAAGGGTTTAAAAAAACCTAGAAAATAAGAACAGAGTTTGAGAAATCATTCCTCATTTTTAAAAAATCAACTCTAAAGCAGTGATATGTGGAAAAAGAACTAAAAGCCATAGGAGATTCTGTAGAAGCAAAGGAGTTAGAGGATCATGGTTTCGGATCTTAAGTAAATCCATTCAAAGTTGATTATACTATCAAATCTACAAGAGTAAGGATTTAGTGACTTCATTTTTGGTAGTTACCACAAAAAAAGTCAAAATAGTCATCATAGTTGGAGTAATATGAAGCCCAAATATAATTCTGTAAAATTATTTGCTGAGGTAGTGTTTGTACAAATTCAAAAGTCCCATGGGAGGGAATAAATAAATGTTAGAAGAAAGTAAAATAAGGCTTAGATCTTACTTTCTCCATTTAAAAAATGGAATCAGTTCAATTGTGGTAATTTTAAATGAGATTCATATATATAAAAAAATAAATAGTGCTTTGTGGAACGCTTTAAAAAAAAGAAAAGAAAAGAAACTCCCAGGAAAGCAAATGTTTTTTTTTTCAAGTTGAGAGCTCCGATGATGATGGAGGGGGCCCAGAGCCCCTGCCTCCTAATATCCCCATAGGATCCCTCGTGAAATTGACAGCAGAGATTCAACTGGTGCCGAACCACATGGACGGAGGCGTTCTGGGGGCACCTCCTCGCATTTGCACACAGTGCATGAGCCAGACAGGAGTGGTGGAAGAGGGACCAGCGGTGATGAAGCTGTAGGCAAGCAGTGACTGTTCTCTTAACTATGAATGATACTCATGGTCACATTTAGATGGCAGGATCCTGGGACTGAAGTGGCCTCATGATGGATTTAAAAGGGCTCTCCTGCCCTGTTTGGTGGGAGCTTAGCAGGATTTGCAGAACCTACAACTGGACAGATTTGCAAACAGCAGTTTACTTATCTGGGGTTCCTAGGAATGGCTTCTGGATCCCAGACTTTGGACTGCCGAAGGGAAGGAGCCTTTGCAACATGACTGATTAGAGGTTCTGGAGGCTGTGTGTTCTAGCAGCATGAATCTGTCAGATCCGCTGATGCCAGAGCCAGGTTGGGATCTTTTCACTCACAGGAGCAGCTTTATGGACAATGAAGGGCTGGTTATGTGGTGATCACGATGGTGACACTGCCACCTGGGATACCCTGGATAGATTTAGATCCCCTTTAAAATTAAGACTAGGGCTCTGACACTTGGGACTGATGGAATAGCTAGAGACGGAATTCTCATGGACTTGTTCTCTTGCCTGAGGCCTTGGTTAGGCCTCAAATGGGGGGGGGGGCAACTGCATGAATGCACACATTAGAGGTGTGATGCCTCTAATGGACTTGGTGGGACCTCACTTAAGAGGATCCCATTTGCAACAAACTATTTATGTACTCAAAACAATCCAAAGACAAAAGCAACCTGCTGCACAGTGGTGGGGGGGGTAGTGCACCATTTTGATGTTGACGGTGTTACTCAGATGCCTAAACTTGTATTTAGTACATACTTTTTTAGGTTGGGTAGAGGCTTATCCTACCCAAATGGAAGGCAAGTCTAGAAGTTACCAGAATCCTTCTGAAAGAACTCACTCTGATATGGGCTCCTAGCAGGAGCTGCTGGCCCGGGACAGGGCCTTCAGCAAGTTGCTGTGCACATACGCCAGCACAGCACAGGAATAGGCTTTGGAGGATGATGAGATGATGGGCATCAGCAGCCCAGGGAAAGAGGCTGGGCAGATGGGAAATGGCATGCTGGCGATGGACGCCATGGGCAAGCAGCTGCAGAGACTGCTCAGCAGCTCTTCCTCCTACAGTGAGGATGTTAGCAGGTACCACATTGTCAACAGGACCCAGGAGCCCCCTCCACAGAGCCCTGGGCATTTCACAGGAGTAATAATGGACCCTCCTTTGTAGGGGAAGTAACCCAGCAAGCAAGCAAAGCCCTGCATCTGGAATGGAAATTGCATACATCAGGATGCAGGAAACCCATCTAAAGTGGGATAGGGTGTTGCATTTGTCCTCCTCCAGATAAGGGTAGCTCCTACAAGCAGGCTTAAGTTAAGCCCCTAAGAAATCAGTTATGAGAGGACCCTTGCTAGCACGCGTCAGTAAGTGTAGAGAGTGTAATGTACAGTCAAGAAGAAGCAGGAGTACAACATGTCAAACGAGTGGGTCAGATACTAGCCAGCGTGCATGAGTTGTGCCTTGCTTTCAGGTCCTGCCCAGGTTGGAAGCACAGAAGTGGAAGACTCTATGAAGTGCTTGTAAAACTCAAACTGTTAATGTTTCAGAGTAAAAGCCTGTGAACACATCATATCAAAGAGAAGGTCCCATGAAAAGGACCAAGCCTCCAGTGGATGGCCAGTCTTTGGCGATCTAAGAAGAAGCGGGCGGAGGGTGGCTCACACCTGTAATCCTAGCTATTGGTGCTAGCTTGGAGGTGGATCACTCAGGTCAGGCTAAGTTCAAAAACTAAGCAAGACCGCCCTACTAAATAGTAAGAAATTAAATTGCCAGAACTAAAAAAAAAAAATACCAGCGCATGTGGTGCCCAGCCTGTAGTCCCACTTACTCAGGCTAGGCAGAAGGACTTTTGGCCCAGAGTTGTGAGTTTGCTGCTAGCTAGGGGCTGGTTGCCACAGCACGTCTGAGCCAGGGATAACAGAGTGAACTCTGTCCAAAGAAAAAAAAGAATAGATAGGAAAATGAGAAATGTTGATATTTTCTCTAACCTTCCTTTGGTTGTTTGTTCTTTCTATACAGCTCCTTAGTGAGGATTTCCCCAGGCTATCACGTCTCTGCTGTGTGTCTTGCTGCTGGTTGTCATCCTAACTTGTTCAGTTGAAGAGTATTTCTGTATACGGTTATTATTTATTTATATATTTATTTATTTTTTTTTGAGACAGAGGTCTCGCTTTGTTGCCAGGCTAGAGTTGAGTGCCGTGCGTAGCCGTAGCTCCACAGGCAACCTCAAAGCTACTGGGTCAAGGGATCCTCTGCCTCAGGCTCCCAAGTAGCTGGCTACAGGGCATGTGCCACCATGGGCTCCGCTAATTTTTGGTATATATAGTTTGGCCAATTAATTTCTTTGCTATTTATAGTAAGACTGGTCTCGGCTCTTGCTCAGGGCTGGTTTCGAACTCCTGACCTCGAGCAATCCGCCCGCCTCGCCTCCCCAGGAGAGCTAGGATTACAGCGTCGACCACCGCGCCCGGCCTATTTATATTATGTTTTTTTGAGACAGAAGTCTCGCTTGTTGTCCAGGCTAGAGTGAGTGCGCGGTGGCATCAGCCTAGACTTCACAGCAACCTCAAACTCCTGGGCTTGAGCGATCCTTCTGCCTCCAGCCTCCCGAGTAGCTGGGACTACGGCATGCGCCACCATGCGCCGCTATTTTTTTTATATATATATCAGTGGCCAATTAATTTCTTTCTATTATAGATAGAGAGACGAGGTCAACCGCTCTTGCTCAGGCTGGTTTTAACTCCTGACCTTGAGCATCCGGCCGCTCGCCTCCCAGAGAGCTAGGTTACAGGCTGTATTACGCATTTCTGAATTTGCAGAAACGGTCTCTAGATCACCTTTGGGTGTCATAAGAGTGCTGCAATGTACCCAACAGTTTTTCTTTTTCTTACCAGCCCGGTAATCTTTGCAATGGATTAAATAAGATAAAATGTCCATCTAAAACATTGAACCTATCAGCAGGAAGTAGCTTGATACTGTGTCACCTCTCCTCCCGATAGATAAGAGAAGAGTAAATTGACCAGTGGGAATATGTAACAGGAGAAAGCTTGAAATAAAGGGTAAAATGCTACTCTTTTAAAACCTCCTTCACTCTTTTTGAAATTGAAAGCCTGCATCCCTGCTCAGGCCAGTGTGGGAGGGGTAGGAGATTGCCTTTGCTCTTGTGCCACAGGAGATGGGCTCAACTAGACTATCCCGGCAGAGGTCAAGGATTATCTTTGCCAAGATGGTGGAGGGATCAGAAATTCATGTCAACTATAATTAAACAGGCAAATTAGAACCTTAGGCTGAAACTTTCCGTTAAAGCTGTATTATGTGTGCGGATACTATTAGGAAAATCAGGCTACACTAATGGCAGTAGTGCCATTTTCGTCAATTGCTGGCAATTGTTAATAAATCGCCCCCTCTCCTTTCTTCTCAGCACCATCTTGGGTCCTTGTCTTCGATTGACCGGAGGGACAAGTGCTGAACTCCATACCAGTCCACGGAATACAAATGGCTTTAACCATCCCAGACAACTAAGAAAATACTAACTAAATCTAATACTTTCTGGTTTAAAATCTAGTGGTATGTTTAATTTTTTTTTTTTATATAGATCTTCCTGCTGTCTCTCAGGCTGGAGTGCAATGGTGCTATGGAGTCATTACAACCTCAAACTCCGGCCTCGCAGTGTCTCCTGCTCCAGCCTCTCCAATAGCAAGGACTATGGGGTGTGTGCTACCATCACACTCCTGGGATGGTTTAAAAATTTTTGTGTAGAGTGGTGGATCTCACTTCGTTGCACAGCGATGATCTTGAACTCAGCGCTTCAAGTTGATCTCCCTGCCTCAGCCTCCTAATGCTAGGTAACAGGCATGGCTACTACACCAGCCATAGTTTAAATTCTTAAAGAATTATATGATATTTTATTGACATTAGAGGAAATTAGCCATTTAGACTCCCAGATAAATGTCTTCGCTCTCTGTGCATCTCTCCAGAGTCTATTACGCACCACCATTCTAACCATGCGCCAAACTAAACTGCGAGTCGTCTGTTCTTTCCTCCATCTTCCATGTCCATTTCTGACAGCAGGAAGTTTGTTTGTTCGACTGCTGTCTCTGTGACTCCTGCGAATGATCCTGGCGCTGGCAGGCACTCAGGTGTTTGTTGAGGATGAAGGAGTGATTAACTTATTTCTATGAATGTTATTATAAATAAAACAAACAATTCTCTACTTCCTTCACACAAAGGTCACTTCACTCAACTAGTTGGCTTTCTTAAGATTTTACTTTTTCTTCCTTTCCATGTTTACATAGTGATCAGTACAAAGCATTTCAAATTCTGTTTTGAGAAACTGTAATAATGAGCATGAGTTCCACTTCCCGTAATTGGCCTATTTTCAAGGATCCAGTAGATAACAGAACCCAACCTGTTTACTGGTAGCTGATAGGCAAATGACTTATTGATAGTCACAAATCTCCCATTTAACTGGGCAGTGTATTTAATGAAGAAAATCTGGCTGGCGTGGTGGCTCACGCCTGATCCGTTAGCTTCTGGAGAGGCCGAGGAGCGGCGGATTGCTCAAGGCAGAGTCAAAACCAGCCTGGAGCAAGAGGGAGACTCCGTTCTCTACTATAAATAGAAAGAATTTAATGGCCACTAATATTAATATAGAAAAAATTAGCCGGCATCGGTGCGGCATGCTGTAGTGCCCAGCTACTCGGAGGCTGAGCAGGAGATTCGCTTGGAGCCCAGGAGTTTGAGGTTGCTGTGAGCTAGGCTGAGGCCCGGCACGCTCACTCTAGCCTGGACAACAAAGCGGATTACTCTGTCTCAAAAAAAAAAAAAATCTTTTTGAGTGCATACAGAGCTCCAGCAGTGGTGACATCCTTATGATGGAAATATTCTTTTTTTTTTCTTTCTTTATTTCATCATAATGGCATCGGTACAAATATTGTTAGGTTAACAAATATTGGCCCCCCCCCATGTGCCAGGGATCAGGCGTGTCCAGTTCCCCGGTGGTGGCACCACACACGTTATTGGAACGTTACACTCCTCTCCTCTCCCCTTCCTGCTGCCACACTGATTAAAAAGTTTTCGTGTTTTTTTTTTTTTTTGTACATTGTATTCATTTGCCTCTATCCCTAAGAGGGTTAGAGTTATGCCCTTCCTCCGAAGTGCTGTCGCCACATCCCTAAAGATTGGGTCTCCCCACCCCAATCCCTGCTGGAGCATTGCCACATTGAAAACCATAGTTTAATCCAGTCAGGTACCAATTTGATAGCGAGGTAGATGTGGGGGCCATCCATGTTCTTGTTGCCTCACTTTGGATAACGGGCTTAAACTTAATCCAGGATAGCATAAAGGGTGCTAGCTCACAGTCATTTCTTTAGGATTGGGTAATATTGCATTGCTGACGCTATATCCATTTATTACTCACTCATGATTGGAACGGCACCTTGGGTTGTTTCCATGACTGTGCAACAGTGAATTGTGCTGCCATACTAATCATCCTGGTGCAGATGTCTTTATAATAGAAATGTCTTATGCTCTTTTGGGTAGATGCCCAACAATGCTATTGCTGGGGTCGAATGGTATTTCTATTTCTAGCTGTCTGAGGTATCTCCAAATTCTTTCCACAAATTGCACTAATTTGCCAGTCCCGCCAGCAGTGTAGGTGTTTCTGCTCCGCATCCTGCCAGCATGTTGCTTTTTGGATTTCTTTGGATATAGCCATTCTACTGGTGTTAAGTGTATCTTCAGTTCTGGTTTTGATTGCTCATTCTAATGTATTAGAGATGTTGAGCATTTTTTTTTTTTTTTTTTTGGAGAAGAGTCTTGCATTTGTTGTCCAGCTGGTTAGAGAGCTGCCCATGGCGTCAGCCTCGCTCAGCAGCAACCTCAACTCCTGGGCTCGAGCGATCCTTCTGCCTCAGCCTCCCGAGTAGCTGGGACTACAGGCAGCGCGCACCTGCCACGGCTAATTTTTTCCTCTTATATATACAGTTGGCAATTTAATCTTTCTATTTTAGTAAAGACGGTCTCGCTCTTGCTCAGGCTGTTTGAACTCCTGACCTCGCACTCCGCCGCCTCGGCTCCAGAGAAGCTAGGTTTACGGCCGTGAGCACCGCGCCGCGACATTTATATTTTGCAGTCATTATCTGTCTTATGTGAGAAATATTCTTATAATATTTTAAAGTCTGCCTTTATTTGTAAGGGCTTTTTTTTTTTTTTTTTTTTTTTTTATAAAGGATGCTGTAGGCTATTTACTGAGTGCAATGCTGACAGCATCTAGCACACAAGGGAAAAGAGGGCAAAAGTACCTAGAGTCAGTTGAAGAGAGACTAGAAGAGAGCAATAGAAAATCAGTTTCTGTAATCTATTGCTTAAAAAAATATACACATGCACAGTAAAACATGGTGGATTACAACAACAATTCATATTATAGCTATGAATTTCATTTATTTGCAGTATCAGTTGGGGTGTTGGGGTGTTAGGTTGTCTGGAAGAAACACAATGGCCTCATTCACATAGCTGGCAGTTCATGCTGGCTGTCAGCATGGGGCCGTTAGACAGGTTGGCTGGAACAACCTGACCTCTCTCCACATGGTCCCAGAGCCTCTTGTGGGGCTAGCTTGGGCTTCCTATCAACATGGTAGCAGGGTTCCAGTAAGGAGCATCCCAAGGGGGCAACCCCAGTGTAATACAATAAATAGGTTGAATAGAAATCTGAAAAGAAATTAGAAAAGATTTTGAGTCAAATGAAAACAAAAACACAATATACCACAACTTAAAGGATACAGTGAAAACAGTGCTTAGTGGGAAATTCATAGCTATAATAGCCTATATTTATAAAAAAAGAAAGATCTTAAATCAGTAACCTACCTTTACACCTTAAGGAATTGAAAAAAAAAGAAAACTAAGCCCAAAGCTGTCAGAAGGAAATAGTAAAGATTAGATTAGGTATAAAATAAATACAGATTAGAAAAACAATAGATGGAATTAATTACACCAAAGTCGGTTCTTCGAAAAAATCAACAACACTGACAAATCTTTGGCTATGCTGTCTAAGAAAAAAAAAGAAGATTCAAATTACTAAAATCAGAAATGAAAATGGGGACACTACTATGGACCTTACTGGAATAAAAAGAATTATGGAAGAACACTATGAGCAACTGTATGTGAAAAAATTAGATGACCTAGATGAAATGAACAAATTCCTATAAACACAGAAATTGCTAAAACAGACTCAAAGACACAGAAGATCTGAACAGACACCTGTAAAAGAGATTGAATCAGTAACCAAAACCTCTAACAAAGAAAATCCCAGGATCAGATGATATCATTGCTGAATTCTGCCAAATACTTAAAGAAAAATTAACACTAATACTTCTGAACTCTTTCAAAATCAAGGAAAGACTACTTTCTGATATATTCTCTGAGGCCAATATTACCCAGTTATCAAAGACATACAAAGACAAATACAGACCACTACTCTTTATCAATATAGATATAAAAGTCCTCAGAAAACACTAGCAAACCAAATGCGAGAATATATTAAAGGAATTAGGGCTGGGTGCGGTGGCTCACACCTGTAATCCTAGCACTCTGGGAGGCCGAGGTGGGCAGATCCTTTGAGCTCAGGAGTTCGAGACCAGCCTGAGCAAGAACGAGACCCCATCTCTACTAAAAATGAAAATAAATTAATTGGCCAACTAAAAATATATAGAAAAAATTAGCCAGGCATGGTGGCAGATGCCTATAGTCCCAGCTACTCGGGAGGCTGAGGCAGGAGGATCACTTGAGCCCAGAGTTTGAGGTTGCTGTGAGCTTAGGCTGACGGCACGGCACTCTAGCCCAGGCAACAGAGTGAGACTCTGTCTCAAAAAAAAAAAAAAAAAAAAAAAAGAATTATACACAATGACCAAGTAGAATATCAGGAATTTAAATGTGGTTCAACATATGAAAATCAATTATTAAAATATACACATTAGTAGAATAAAGGAAAACATGATCACCCCAATTGATGTAGGAAAAGCATTTGACAAAATGTAACACCTATTCATGATAGAAACACTCACCAAACTAGGAATAGAAGGAAACTTCCTCAATATCCTAAAGGCATTTATGAAAAATCCATAGCTAACATCCTACTCCGTTGGGAAAGACTGAAAACTTTCCCTCTAAAACTAGAGACCAGGCAAGGATTCTGAATTTTACCACTTCTATTCAGGATTGTACTGGAAGTTCCAGCCAGAATAATTACGTGGGAAAAAGAGATGAAAAGCACTCAAATTAGAAAGAAAGAATGAGGCTATTTCACAGATGAAATGATCCTATGTAGAAAATCCTAAAGAATTCATTAAAAACCTGTTGAGAGCTAATAGACCAATTCAGCAAATTTGAAGGATACAATATTAACACACAAATATCAATTGTATTTGTACACATTAGCAATTAACAATTTGAAAATGAAATTAAAAAAATAATTTTATTTATAATAGCATTTAAAAGAATAAAATACCTGGAAATAAATGTAGCTAATGAGGGCAACAAGTTACACACTGAAAACTACAAACTATTGTTGGAAGAATTTAAAATAGATCAAAATAAATGGAAAGACATCCCATTTTAATGAATTGGTAGACTTAATATTGCTAAAATGGCAATGGTGCCGGGCGCGATGGCTCACGCCTGTAATCCTAGCTCTCTGGGAGGCTGAGGCAGGCGGATTGCTCGAGGTCGGGAGTTCGAAACCAGCCTGAGCGAGACCCCGTCTCTACTAAAAATAAAAAGAAATTAATTGACCAACTAAAAGTATATATACAAAAAAAATTAGCCAGGCATGGTGGTGCATGCCTGTAGTCCCAGCTACTCGGGAGGCTGAGGCAGCCAGGAGGATCGTTGAGCCCAGGAGTTTGAGGTTGCTGTGAGCTAGGCTGACGCCATGGCACTCACTCTAGCCCTGGCACCAAAAGTGAGACTCTGTCTCAAAAAAAAAAATAAAAAATAAAAAAAATGGCAATGGTTAATCTTCATGAGCTTGGATTTGGCAATTGCTCTGAGGTTAAACACTGAAAGTACAAGTAACAAAGGAAAATAGATCAATTGGACTTTGATAACATTTAAAGGGTTTATGCAAAAAAGGTCACTATCAAAAGAGTGAAAAGACAACCTACAGAATGGGAAACAATGTCGCAAATCATGTTCTGACAAGGTTCTAGTGTCATAATGTATAAAGAACTTTTACAACTCAATAAAAAAAGACATCCAGCTAAAATTGGGCAAAGGACTTGAAAAGACATTTCTCCAAAGAAGACATACAAATGGCCAAAAAATACATGAAAATATGCTCAATATCATTAGTCATTAGAGAAATGCAAACCAAACCACAATGAGATACTACTTCACACCCACTAAGGTGGTTAAAACTTAAAAAACAGGAAAACCCAATTGTTGATGTAGAGAAATTGAACCCTAGTACATTGCTGGTGGGAATGCAAAATGGTGCAGCTGCTGTGAAAAACAGATTGCAGTTCCTCAAGTTTAAATATAGAATTACTGTACAGCAATTCCACTTGTAGGTACACACTCAAAAAAACTGAAAAAACAGATGTTCACACAAAACTGTTAACGAACCATAAGGGGTGTTCACTGTTGCTTGCTGCACAGAAAGCCAGTTACAGAGACAATGAGGATTGTCAAGGAAGAAAGGCTTTATTACAGTCAAGCGTTGTTGTGTTGAGAGAGGATCCCTAAGAAATAGTTTAGTGAGAGGACCCGGCTAGCACCCAGAGGTTAAGTAGGTAATGTAGGCATAATGTAAAGAAAGCAGAGTAAGGCCATACATGTCAAACGGAGTGGGTCAAAGATAACTAGCCACTAGTGCTGAGTGTTGCCTCTTTCAGGTCCCTGCCCCAGTTGGAAGCCACAGAATGTGGAAGGGGACTGCTATGATATGCTGTAAAAACTCCACACCTGATGAGTGTGTCACCCGGATAAAAAGCCTTGGACCCGATGCATATTCAAAGTAACAGAGGTGTCCCATGGAAGAAGAGCGACCCAAGCCTCATGGGGATGGGCAGCCTTAGCACGACTTAAGAAGAAGGGGCCAGGCGGGGTGGCCACACCTTAAGTCCTAGCACGTTTGTGAGGCCGAAGGGGGTGGATCATCTTCGCAAGTTCAGGAAGTTTGAAAACAGCCTGAGCAAGGACCCTGTCTCGCTACTTAAGAATTATAAAGAAATGTAATTGGGCCGAACTAAGAATATAGTAGGGAAAAAATTATGCCTGCATGGTTGGTGCAAGCCTGTAGTCCCGCAGTAGCGCGGAGGGAGGCTGAGCAAGAAGACTGTGTTGAGCCCAGGAGTTGAGTTGTGCTGAGCTAGGGGCTGATGCCACAGCACTCTAGCCAGGGATAACAGAGTGAAAACTCTGTCTCAAAAAACAAAAAAAAAAAAGAAGGAAGAAGGAAATGAAAATGTTCGAATATTGTTTCTCTAACCTTCCTTTGGTTGTTTGTTCTTCTCGTATGACAACGTCCTTGTGATGAGGTTTCCCCAGGCTATCACGTCTTCTGCTGATTGGTCTTGCTGCTGGGTTTGTCATCCTACAG